TTTACATGTTTATACATTTAATTAGTATGTAAATAATTAAATGTATAAACATGTAATTAGTAAGTTTAAATATTGTACACTTTTTTGGCAAAATAAAAGATTATTATTATTATATTATTATTACATTATCTAGCACTCAATGAACAAGCTTTGTTTAGTTTGGGACTAAGTATGTAGATGTAGTACTATTTTTTTATTTAAAATTCTGACCGTTATATGGCGTTGGTTTATTACATTGCATGGTAAGAAATTGTAAAAGATAGATACTAAATACTTTTTTTTTAATTTATTGAATAAATGAATAGTTAATATTGTTAAAAATATTTTTATAATGTTACATGCGAGCTTCGTACAGTCGTACCATATATATGCACGTTAAGCTTCAACTAGTCGCGGGCTCGAACTCACTCGTGGATGCGGTCAAAAAGCACGCTGTCTCACCTAGCATCTTTTATCTATTAGACAAGTCCGTCTGTCTGTGGTGCTTTTTCAGCGGCCAAACCGTAAGAGATAGATAAAGAGAATATTTAAGTTATAAGTTAAGAATAGTCTGATAAGACTACAAACCGGATTTGAGTAACGTAGCACTTCCGGTTTTCGAGAAATCAGGTTTTGGTGAACATTTGGTTCACTGGTTTGCTAGTTATGTCTAAAAGAGATAGAATCAGTTATGAGCAGTTAGCAGCTAGTCTACACGCATACGTCTAGTCGCACGCAGACAAACACAGTGCCGAAGTCTGCCGAAATGAAACGACGTTAGATGACGCACGGCTTTCAACGCCGCGCCGCACCGCTGTGCCGGTCGGAGTGGGGGGTGTTAAAAGAAAGAAAGAAAATAATTTTTATAAACCCTTAAAAAATACAACATGTAAAAAGGAACTCATACAGGAAGGGCTAACCAGGACCCTGCCTCAGCGTTAGGTGATACGACATTGTGTCGCGCCAGCGCTGATATTCTGGCAGGGCCTGCTTGAAGTTATATAAGCTCGCGGTTAGCGCGCGAGGCGCTCGTTGATGTAGACCCGAGCGCCGCCCCCTACGGCGGTGGCCGGCGGGCCACCCTCATCAGCGGTGGCCGGCGGGCCGCCCTCATCAGCGGTGTTTAGTGTTGCCCAAATTCAGTCTTGGTCTTGCAGTCTTGGTCTTGTTCGTGCATTTTTGCAAGACCAAGACCAAGAACAAGACCGCGTATTTTTAGCAAGACCAAGACTTGAGCAAGAACAAAACTAATCCGGCAAGACTCTTGCGTCTTGCAGCTAGGACTTAGCGCTATTTTTCACGGAGTAGTTAGGCATAACAGTTCGGTGTATAGGTACGCATATTCTATGAGACGCAAAAAACTTTATCAAAGAATATGAAAAACTGGACCTATGCGCATTACGACCAATACCATAAACATACATAGCGAATAAAAAAATATCCATTAAAATCAAACAGAGTGCATGCATAGTTTTGTTTTAACCATCGGCACTTTGATAATGCGGCATCAAAGGTTTTGTACTGACTTCTCAAAGTTTGCCGCTTTTCGGAAGTACATGGTGATGACACACGCGCCGGCGGCTTCTATTGAAATCACATACAAAATCGTTGCCGCCGCACCGAAATCACAACATTTGACACTATTTGATTGTCGCCACAAGGCCTAGGTATACTCATGCAAAATTCTAATTTCGTGTCGTGCCGTCCCACTCACGCTAATACTATTTAATATATGAGTGAGCGAGACGGTACGACACGAACTTCGATTTTCGAATTTTAGAGTACAGGTGTTCCAAAGAATAAATAAGTTTCAGAGTGCTTAGAATGGAAACGAATACATTATACTAATCACGCAAGTAGTATTATGATTAGATAATGGTAAAGATAGGTAGTAGATGCTATAATAATTTATTCTAGTAAGTATATATTATAATATTGATTATATGTACTATTATTGTACATTTAGTCAAAATATTTCTTAAATTTTTAAGTTTTTACAAGAAAAAATAGCAAAAAAGTGTTCAAATATAACCCGTTTGATAAATATTGTAGCCACTTTTAAATATACTTGAAACGTGTAAAAAAATCTACAAAACTAATAAAATAATATAAAAAGCGTACCTACCTACTTATAAAAAAAAATGGATGCGTGTAACTTATGTACGCGCGTGAGAAGTTATACTTCTTTAGCATCATTAAAGATATTTTTTAATTGCATGCAAATAATTAATAAATACAATAAAATAATAAAAGGACTGGAAAAGGATAGTTAACACAGTCAATTAAGTTCAGTTTTAATTTGAAAAATTAAATAAATATTCAAAATATTCAATTAAAATCACTACTGAATTTAAGTTATTAGTCCATATGTAATTAGCACTTGTAAGTAACTAAAACACGTTGTGTCTATATAGAAACTAGAAACATGTGGATAAATATTATAAATATGAAAACAGGATTTTAGCGATATGTCATACATCCTAAAAATCCTCAAAATTGTATGAATCTTATATTTTATTTTAGTATATATGCATTTACTGTTAATATGGGTTATTATTTAAATAATAATACACTTCATTTCGCTAATCAAAGAACTTATTGTTGAATTTAGTTTCACTACCGCTCAATAGGTGGCGCGTAAAGTATGGTACACCGCGGTATGGTTTCCTTCGAGCAGAAATATATATACGTTTCGCAGCTTGAGTACTCTAAACAGTACTACGCCGTTGCACGGAACCTCCACCTCCCACAAGTCTCCGAGGTAAAAATCTGTGCATTTTTCCCGCTCGCGAGACTGCCCGGCGCCATTCCGCGCCGGCGGTGACTGCCGCGCCCACAGCCGCAGGCCTTGAGCGCGCCGCAAGGCTGCGCTCGGCCAGGTTCGCGCAGGCGTAGCCCCCAGCTCGCAGCATGGAAGACACCACCACGCACACGATGCCACAGTGCCCCAACCCTCCAGTGGACGCAGATATAACCCAGACCAGGGCCCTCTTCGCAGCCAAGATGATCGGCATGAGATCGAAACGACTCATACAGTCAGGCCTGCTCTCGAAGAGGCTATCGAGATGGATTTATACCTTCATACGCATACTGGACGAGGAAGACAGCTCGGTGACCGAACTCAGTCCAGATGACTACAAGTTCATCGAAACTTGCAGTTCGGTCAACGCACAGCCGCTCACGCTCCCGCCGCCAACTGACATCTTTATGGAACCCATCCAGACGCAGCCGAGACAGCCCCGCGCAGTGCGACCGCGCGATACCCATCCGCGCCGTTCGCACAGCTGTGATGTGCTGCCCTTCCTAGATGACGAGCCCACCGAAACACCACCGACTGCTGTACCGACACAGCAGCCAACCTACGGGCAGGTCGTGAAAAGTTTCACACCTACCCCCACTTCGGAAGAAAAATCCACACCCGCCGCCGCTTCACCCACCGCCGTGCCGACCGCACAGCCGGCCCACAGCAGCGCTCCCACGTCCCAACGGGCTTACAAATGCCCGCCGATTGTGGTCGAGCAGCTGCCGGACTGGCCGACGCACATGCGCGCCCTCCACGGCTTGCTCGGCCGACCACCAAGCGCGCGCCCGTTTGGCGCGGGTTTGCGCTTCCTGCCGTCGGACGACAACGAAAGCCACACCATACGGGACTACCTCACCAACCTCAAGGCGAGCGGGCTGAGTTGGTACTCGCACGCTCGCCCCGAAGACCGCAGTCTAAAGGTGGCCATCCGTGGGCTGCCCTTAGACACCTCACCACGAGACGTCGCCGAGGCCCTCGCCGAGAAAGGATTCTCGGTTGAGCACGCGAAACAGATCCGGGCGCGAGCAGGCCGCCCCGGGTCCCTTTACTACGCAGCGCTCCGAAGAACCCCGAACCTTATCCCGGACATATACTCAGTGAGTTACCTCCTGAGTTTGTCCGGGATCACCAATGAAGCCTGGAGAGGGCGGAAGGGCCCCGCGCAGTGCCATCGCTGCCAGTGGTTCCGCCACTCCAGTCTCGGCTGCCACCGCGCGCTTGCCTGCGTGCGCTGCGGCGAGCCGCACGCTGCCGCCGACTGCCCCCGCCCGCTCACACAGCCCGCGACATGCGCGAACTGTAAGGGCGCGCACCCGGCCAACCACAGTACGTGCCCCGTGCTCCAACGCGAGGCACGCAACCGCCTCGCCACGACAGTGGCCCGCACAGGCCGCCCCACCACCACCGAGCCAGTACAACAGCCACGCGAGGTGAGCGAGCACGCGCCGGCCACTTTGATGGCCCCCGCGAACGCTCCTCCCTCGCACACCAAGCGCCGCCGCCGAAAAATCCGTCGAGCGAGCTCATCGACGACGGACTCGACCATCGATGCCCCTTCACACAAACGGAGTGAAGCCAGCTTTTTACAAAAGTTCGGGCAGGCCGAAAACAAAAGTTTGCCATCTACCCCCGCTGAAGACACCACCCCCGCCCGCTGAAGTCCGTCGCCCGCTCGCTGGTCGCTCACTGGGCCTTCCTCATGGGTCTCACCCGGTGGGCTTGACCGCGCCGAGGGCGATGAGTGAAGAAGCTGAGGCGGGGGTACTCGACCCACACGACCGTCTCGTCCCGACGACGAGATGCGAGCCCGATACATCCATAGTGGCTCACGCCAGAAAGGATTCCCCGCACGCCGCGGCGCCTACGGCGCCGGCGACGCGCGAGACGACGACTCAGAGTACTCTAAACTAGAAACATGTGGATAAATATTATAAATATGAAAACAGTGATCAGAGGCGACGAGCGTCCCAACATGTGCGACTAAGAGATCATATTACTATTTTGTTGGAAGCTTTTTTTTCGAGACTTACGAGTAATGTGCGGTTTAGCGGCCGACTTCATGGTGTTACTTTTCTGTTACAGTGTTGCGCGCGCATCTTAAAATTTCACTCATCATTTTTTCATAACGCGCCCGCGGCTAACTTCATTATGTTACTTTTTTGTGTTACAGTGATGCGCGCGCATCTTAAAATTTCACTCTCATAATTTTTTCATAACGCGGCTAAAGAAGTATAACTTCAATAAAAATTCTTTAAAATACAGTCAAGTTATTATGTTTTTTTTACATGTTTTAGCACATGTAAGCTTATAAAGCGTAAATGTTTATTAAGAAACAGTTACTCCCATGGAAAATGGCATATAGCTCAGTTGCTAACCATGTGGCAGTTGATTTTTCGAATTTCTTATCAAATCTTCAGACATTTATTAATCTGATTGGTCTTTACTATGGCTATGTTAATTCAAGCTCACAATGTTCCAATTCTAATACGTTTTTCTAAGATCTAAAGTAAACTTTAATAAATAGCAATAGTCTAATAGGTAATTGCAAGACTTGCAAGACTCTTGCTGCAAGACCAAGACCAAGACTGGGAGCGCAAGACCAAGACCAAGACCAAGACCAGGTGTATTGGCCTAAGACCAAGACCAAGACTGGCCAAGTCTCGTCTTGATCTTGCATTTGGGCAACACTAGCGGTGTTCGGGGCGCCGTCCTCCGAGTCCGTGACCCTCCGCAACAGTGACCATGCGGCGCACACGCGCGACTGCCAAGAGGTCGTCGCGCAGCTGGCGGCGCGCCCACACGCTCCGCGAACACCCAGCCTGTCGAGAGTCACTCCCAGCCGCAAGGCCAGCATGGTGACGCTCTGCTCCACGCTGACGCCCCTCTCTTCGGGCAACCCGCCGGTCGGACATCAACGCCTCCTGATCGCGGTCGTTAACCTGGGCGCGCAGCTCGGATATGGTGCACTCCAAGTCCATCCTATCAGTTGCATCAGGATCTACTTGACGCTGCTCCAACACCGCAACTTTCTACTCGAAGGAGTCAAGTCGAGCGGTAAAAGAAATGCGGAAGGCCTCCATGTCTGAGCGGAATTCCCTCGTCTCCTTCAGGCAGTCGGCCAGCATACTTTTTATATCACTGGTGTGATTATTTCTGACGGCGTTCTCCTTGGCCTTACCCTGGACCTCATCTTCCTTTGGAGAGCCCCTAGCTAGGTCGACAGGTTCTCGTACAGCAACCGGTTTTTCGGGCTCGGAAGATTCGCTGATACCATTTACAGGCGTACGCGTGTTGTCACCCCTGCGTGTGCTCTTCTTGCAGTTCGGGCATATCCAGTCCTTGCTGACACTCAACTTTTCCGGGATGGCGAGGCAGGCCTTATTATATTTTATTGGGCAAGCACAGCAAACAACAGCATTGCCCGGCGCCAAAAAACTTCCACAAGCTCCACAGTTTACCATCTTTAGTCCAAAAATTTTAATTATAATTATAAAGTCAAAATAAAAGGGAGACAAACAAAAATAAGAACAGGTGCTGGGGTCTAAAACAAATATATAAAAAATAATGAAAAAAAATAAAAATAAAAAATACGAGTGCGGGATTTGAACCGACGACCGCGGTGATGCGTCGAACGTTAGTCCCGTTTAGATTGATATTAGAATGGCGAAAATTGTGTTCTATTGGTATATGCACTCTCGCAAGGTTTTCGTTACAGAATTTTTTGGTTCGGTCCCCGCGTTCAAAGCCCGCGATAAAAGCTATACAATAGCTTAAAAGGAAAAAAAATGTTAGGCAATGTGATAGTTTTTTAATTCAATTTCAGTTAAATCTATATCACTAGAATCTTTATTTCTTTTATACGAGTTTTTCCATATTTCGTAAAAGCAAACCGTGGCCTGAAATCTATAGCAAACGGAAAGTGGTACTGAAACATGCGTGATGAGTGTCCATGCCCAAACACCGAAAAACTCCATCTGGAAAAAAAAAAATTAGTTGAGATTTGCATGTGATCGCGTAAGTTTATCAGCATTTCAGTGAGGATAACATGCTGATAAACTTACGCGATTAAAGCTCTAATTTGGTTTGGAGACTCTACAATTGTACATTTCTTTATTTGGTATGCTAACATTTTTACATTTTACATCAAATGAATAATATATATAATACATTATTCATGAAACATAAACTGAATAAAATATTTTAATTAAAAAGCTTTGTGCAAAAGCTTTTGTGCGTATTTCTGACATAATTAGTTGAAAGGAAAAAAACATAATTCGAGTAAAACCACTTCTTAGTTAAGTTATTTTATAAATCATTTAAAAATATAAAAGTATCCTCAATAATAATGTCTATAAATAAATCCAAATTATTTATGCATGCACATAGCTTTCGAAAAACTGAACCAAATTGGAAAATTCTTTTTTGTTGCATTCTTCATTGTTATGACAAGGTTTGTACAAAAGAAAAAAAACAGAAAAAGCATGAGTGGCGGACCGGTACAAAAATCGCCGGATCAGCTAGATGAATAATATTTTACGCACGGACGAAATAATCGGTGTCTTTGTAGTTACACAAGCATACTTATTTAATGAAATAGAAAGAAAGAAAGAATACCATATGTGTAGTAAGTATACCACCTGTATAGGTACTTACACAGGTCTGTATAATTTGTTATGCATGCAATTTACTTGGTCGAGAGGACAAAAGTCAAGCGTGCATACCCATAGAAGACTAAATTAAAAATTAATAATATAAAAAATCTTATATCTTCTGAGTAAAATATTAAAGTACGGGAAAGGATGGGTGTCACCAAGCTCCTTCAATAAAAGCTATTGCCTGAAGTGGAAGGAGACAAACAGCCTACAATTCTGTAGGACCGTGCCTGAGGTCCATTGACTTTGGAAAATAGGAGTAATTTCTATGTATGCTAGCTGACCCAGCAAACTTCGTACCGCCCTAAAAAAATAGGGGTTGTCCAGCGGTCAAAATTGTGAATCTAAACCATTCTCAGATCTCCTTGAACACACACAAAAAATTTCATCAAAATCGGTCCAGTCGTTTAAAAGAAGTTCAGTGACATACACACTCACAGAAGAATTATATATATAAAGATATGCATGTATCAGGGCTGTTACGGATGTTCGCATTAGCATCTGAAAATGCGGAATGTTCGTATTCAGACATCTTCATCCGCATTTGCTTCAATTAATACGGAGCATTTACGGATGCGGATTCATATAAACAAAGAAATTCATATAAGTAAAGACATCTAAGAAGAGTAGGTGGAGCCAGAGTGGCGCGTGCTTAAAATGATATTAAAGAAGACTGAAAACTGTTTCAGTTTTGTTTTCAAAATTAATATGATTTAAATAAAAATAAAAATTAAATCAAGTTACATTTATTTGTTAACTTAAAATTTATTATTTATTAAAATTAATATCTTTATAATATATATCTTGAAATCCGGTTCCGCATCCGCGGATGTCAATTTTTTGCATCCCCAACAACCCTGCCTGGTATGTATGCTATTTACTTGAAGTGGGTGAAATTCAGCCCTTGCATTTTTCACACGGTTGAGGAGCCATAATGCTAAGTTGCCCACTAAAAGGAAAGTAATCAGCTGTCGACCAGGTCGTCTCCCGCCTGGCACTTCAGCGCTTCTGCGGGACCACGAGTCTAATACTAGCAGAGTCTGGCAGGAACTTTGGATCACAGCGCATAGCGGCGACAATATCCTGTTTAATTGACAAGTAAATACACTTCAGTTATGGTAAGTTATATCCCACCAAAAACATTCTGTAAAAAACTAGCCAAGTCTCGATAGAGCTGCTTGTTTATCTCTAAAAAGCAATGAAATCTAGACAAAGTCGTGCCAAGTCTAAGGTAAGGAACTGCGATTTTTTTATTATTATAGTTAATGTTGTGTGACTTGGCTGTTGAAGGGTACACAAGGGTACAAAACCAGGTGCTACATGACACCATTGCACCAATGCATTCATACGTGCAAAAAATAAAAATATTTATAGAAATAAATTAAATATTTTACTTAATTCACATACATTTTTAATTTAATAAACATAAAAACACTTGGCTAAATATTTTTAATACTTGATGTTAAATGAAAGAAGTCCAGAAAATAACTGGTGTAATCAGGGCCGTGCTGGAGCTCTCTAAATATCGGAGCAAGTTCCAAGGCCGTAGCTCCCTAGCTACGGTTTTTGCCCTTTCTTTAAAACGGGCGGCAGAAGTCAGCTCGGAGTCATGGGGGCAAATCTTAAATTTTAAAAAACGCTCCTAACTATGTTAAATAAATCCCTGGCTGCGCTCTAGCAAGTTCATATACATAAATGAAGGATTTAAAAGTATGAATTATGGGTAAAATTGAACAAGGCTCACACTTGTCGTGCTTCAACTTAGTTTGGATTGGAATCATATTCGAGTTAGGAGAAAGCAGAAATGCATAAGTGAAACTTTTATTAAATAGTCGCATTACATTTTTCGAAATTCAATCCTTATCAGCTTGCGACGGTGGTTCAGTGGTACAAAGCCCGCGGGCAGCCCGGGTTCGATTCCCAGCCGAGGCACAACTCTTTTTTCATTATGTATCAATTAGTATATCAAAAATTCCGTACACACGTTTATTTGGGGTAAAATTTTCAGTTAAAAGTTTCACTTGCATCAATCATCTTGCCCCCCATAGTCATCACTTTGCAATCAATTTGAATCAGTTTTCTTTTTTATATGTAAAGTTTATATGAATGCATGAATCAATCATCATGTAAGTTGATTAATGTGTCGATGCTTACCTAGTAGCTCGTCTTTCTTCAGGGTATTTGTGTATGATAAACCCAGCTCCAATGATTTGGAACAGGTAATAGAGGTAGACGCCGCACTGTGTGACTAGGAGCAAAGAGTGTTCCAACGGCAACGCGTAAACAGTTTTCCGGATAGGAAGAGTGCGTATGCGTTGAAGACATGTTGCCGAACTGAGCGTCATTAGTATGAATAGGATTGTCTCCCAAACGTTGATCTATTAAAGAATTATTTAAAAGACATTAGTTTAATCTTTCTTGGTCACTAACATTACATTTTTTGATGTGTAACATCTTTCCTCTCGCTTTCCTGCAATTTGTGGGAGTGATTTCGTGAAATGGAACGGAAGTGTGTAACAGGAAGTCGCCAAAAGCGCGCGCTATGTGATTTGATTTAGAACAATGATTAAATGGCTTATTCCTTTTGTAGTAGGTTTTAGTTATTTTTTTACTAATATAAGGTGAGGTTACAAATGTTACACATCATACGCGACTACTGTAAGGCTCGCTCGTTTTTTTTGTTATTTGTGGGATTGCTACCGTGTACCTTATTTATAGCGATTCTCCGAGATATTTCGGCACTGTTGCAAGCGCCATGATCATTGATCACGGAGTAAAAAACAACGTAGGTACATGGTAGCGATCCCGCTAATAACAAAAAATATTGTAATAAGTATATAAAATATTTTTCAATTCTTTTTCATTCGTACATGAATGACACGGAGAATCCATTCATTGTTTAAACGTTAAGCAAAACAAAAAGAGATATGAATATTTGGTCACCTGTAATAAAGCAAGTTCGATATAATTTTTATTATGGAAGAGACCGTCGAAGAGCATAAGGCTGACGACTGTGCCAGCCAACACGGCGATTCCCAAGAAAAGTCCTTTGTGCGCGCTGCCGCAGTCCACAGAAAAATGGTTGTTGGATTTCATCCTGGAGCAGCACTGTCGCGATTCCTTGCCGATGTTCCTTACTGGGCCTCTGATAAATTTCTACAATATGATGAAAACTAAGTTAACTGTTTAATTGATTATTGGACAATGTTAAAATGACCAACATTAATATTTTCACCTTAGCAGCTCCAACATACTGCGTTCCCTGCTTAATAAGAGTGAGGGAAACGCGTTTTCCCTGCGAGAGTGAGGGAAAGTGATTTGAATTTAGAATTCTGCGAATAGGGATGATGACTAATTTTTTTTCTTCGTTTATCAGGTAGATTATTAAAAAGTATTGGACACGTATTTTTTCTTTTTTCACATAATATAAACATTGCAGAGATATATTGATTTGAAAAGTCGCATGACGTCACGTTTGAGTACACTTATAAGGGAAAATTCACTCAAAAGTGACGTCACGAGCCCCTACTCCCAAACTTTGACGCGCTATAACTTTGTAATTTTTTGGTTGATTGCCCAAAGAAAAAATACGTGTCCATTATTTTTTGATCATCTAACTGATGGACTAAATAGATTTTCGTTTACTGTACCCCGTCATCACCCCTATTATCATTATGTACGAAACACGTCATTCGAAGTTCGATTTATCAAATTTCAGAACACCCCCAAACAATAAAACGTTTGGAAACTAATACACTTTACACGTTACTTGGAAAGTAACGTTGTAATTAAATATCTAATTAAATAATAAAATATAATGAATACACTGAAATAAAGAAAAAAAAAAATGGGTGCGTGTACTTATGTAGGCGCGTGAGAAGTTATCCTTCTTTGGCATCGTTTAAAATTAGTTTTTAATTGCATGCAAATAATTAATTACAATAAATTAATAAAAAGTCTGGAAAAGGACACAGTCAATAAAGTTCAGTTTTAATTTGAAAAAATAAATAAATAATCAGAATATTCAATTAAAATCGCTACTGAATATAATTTATTAGAACATATGTGATTTGCACTTGTATGAAACTCAAACACGTATTCCGAATATACAAACTAGAAACATGTGGATAAATATTATAAATATGAACCTATAACTGTTACTTTATTACAAAAAATAAAGATGTGGTTTTTGGTTCTACTACACCAATGGTCAAGAGATGGCGCTGTAGTCTCCTGAATCGCGCTTTGGTTCCGTTGTTCCAGATTAATAAATACTTTTTGTTACTTTATTACAAAAAATAAAGATGTGGTTTTTGGTTCTACTACACCAATGGTCAAGAGATGGCGCTGTAGTCTCCTGAATCGCGCTTTGGTTCCGTTGTTCCAGATTAATAAATACTTTTGATAGGCCTTCACAATGCAGTCGTTAGCACCCACAAAATAGAGATTCTATTTCTATTTTGTTGGTAGATTTTCTTAATGTGCGGTAAACGCAAAAGTAACGTCGCTTTAGCGACCAACTTCATGCTGTTAATTTTTTGTGTTACAGTGATGCGCGCGCATCTTAAAATTTCACTCTCATCATTTTTTCATAACGCGCCTAAAGAAGTATAACTTCAAAAATAAAGAAAATGTTTTAGAAAAAATACGAAGTAGTTATGCACAAATAATTTATAGTTTTAAAAATCTTTATTGGTACAACAGAATACTACGGGTGCAGTTTCAGAACGTAACTTTAAAAATATCGGGAAACAAAAGTCAATATTATTTCTTCTTCTTTTGTTTTTTGGTAAGTAACTACTTTCAATTAGTGTTGCATATCACAAATTCATAAAATATGAGTGAGTCTAGTGACGAAAACAGCAATTTAACACCTGAAGAATTAAAACAACAAGTGTTGAATGCTGAATTCAGTTTTCTTCCTCAGAAATCATGTGATAGATATCTGAAAGCCTATGATGTTTTCAATAAATGGAGACTTGAAAAGGGCGCGAACACTTTCTCGGAGAATGTATTATTGTCGTACTTCATAGAATTATCACAAACGAAGCAATCACCTACAATGTGGAGTATTTATTCGATGTTGAAAGACATAATTATTCTAAGGACAAAACATAATGTTATGCATTGAAACTTATCCCAAACTTATTGCATTTTTGAAAAGAAAGTCAGTAGGACACAAATCTAAAAAGTCCAAAATTTTTTCAATTTCTAATATTGAAAAAATTCTTAATGAAGCTCCGGACTGCAATTTTCTCGCTGCAAAAGTAAGTTACTACCTATATGTCTATACTTAATTAGTAATATATGTGCACGTACGCTAACCATTTTCGCTAATATTTACTAAAATACGAGTTACTTATGTAAAGAAAGTGGGTAAATACTTACGTTTTGTTTATCATACATTTTAATTACTTACATTTTACTTATATAATATTTTTATTACAGGTTATCCTCATTATTGAAATAAATGGAGCATGCCGCTCGAACGAACTGTTAAATCTGACTGTTAATGCCATCGAAAAACATTCTGACGAACTGCTATTAGTCAACCTACCCAACACAAAGACAAACATTGACAGGTCCTTTGTTGTTCGCGACGAATATGTGAAAATTGTCGAGAAATATAAGGCATTATGACCTGATAATACGAAAACAGATCGATTTTTCTTGCAGTATCGTAATGACAAGTGTTCAAGACAACCTATGGGAATCAATAAAATAGGCATAATTACAAGAGCCTCACCTTTACACTGGACATTGCTTTAGGCGAACTTCGGCCACGCTTTTGGCTGATTCAGGAGCCAAGCTCACAACATTAAAACGTCATGGCGGCTGGAAGTCAAACACGGTCGCGGAAGGATATATTGAAGATTCGATCTAAAATAAGTCTAAAACCTGTAAACGCATAATAGAAAGCATAAACTTTAAACCTGATCCTTATGCACACCCGCGCCCCTCTACTTCCAATGACACAAATATCATTGAAAATTCGGTAAGAAGCCGCACCGAGTCGCCAACGTTTACTAATAGTATTGTCTCGTCACAGTCCAATAAAGAAATAGAAGCGAACTCGAGTCAAATTAAAATCGCAAACTCCACGGTATCACTTCCTAATAAAACTATAAATTTTCAAAATATAACTTTTAATAACTGCAATTTTAAATTTTAGTAGATACTTATTGTTTGCAAATATATGTGGTTTCATTTTTATTCATATTGTATCTTTTTATCTCCTAATCTCAGACCAAATAAAAAGTATAGACGGAGTCTGCCGAACCAAAAAGTGAAGCCGATAAAACTACGCCTCGTCGTGTACATACACAGTTACACGCACACACATGCAACGAAACTACGCCTTGGCTTCTCAGTCGAGCTATCCCGACGCGCGGAGTGTGACGTAATAATAAATAACAATATTTATTAGAGAAAATGCCGAATTGTGTAGTGAAAACGTGTAAAAACCAATCTTCCAAGATTAAAAAACAGGATGGAATCACATTTCATACCTACGTAAGTAAAGTTTTTTTTTTTTTTTTTTTTTTTTTTAAACGACACTCACACCAATTAGCCTAGCCCCAAAGTAAGCACTGTAAGGCTTGTGTTATGAGATGCTAGGGTAACGGATAGAATACATATACTGTACATATATAAGTATATTTATATAGAAATACATATTAAACATCCATGACTGGAGTACAAATGCTCGTATTCATCACACAAACATCTGCCCCCACCGGGATTCGAACCCGGGACCTCTCGAGTCGGCGACACCATGAAACCCGGCGTACAAACCACTCGACCACGGAGGTCGTCCTATAAACGGAGTTATAAACTGCTATTTTCAATTAATCAAATTTGAGGTTGTCGCTTTGTAAACAAAACCTGAACGAAATGTTGCCATGATTATTCGTTAAAGTTTTACCCTTTTGTTGGGTAGCGTGAAATATAACGTAACGTTATTTTATTATATACATTGTGTGGCATACTTTTATATTATTCGAATATTGTAATGCATGGATAAACAATTACACGAAACATCTTTTTTCTTTATGTATTCGTTTAATTTTTTAGGGATGTAATACACATTATTTAATATACGTTCTTTTTAAGATTTCCTAATCGAGATCAAGATCTAAAAGAGAAATGGATTGCAGTCATTCGTAAGAGTAGAAATGCACCATTGTGGCAACCAGCTTCCCACAGCGTGGTTTGTTCGACTCATTTTCAGAGCGACGATTTGTAAAATAATAATATATTTGTAATTTTATTTGTATTGTACTTTTTAATAGCCTTTTTGACCCAAAATTCGCGATGTTTGTGGATTTATTTTATTATGTTCTTGTATAGGAACTAGTGATTATATTTTGTGTATTCTATAGAAAATTTCATGTACATTTTAATAAAAGAAACTGTTTGTCAACATTTGTATATGCTTTTCGTTTTATCGACATAAAGTTGAGATGACTGATTTGTAAGCGATTTCAAGTGCCTTGTTGCGAGTGCTTGAAACTATAAAATGAACAAACCTATTCCATCCGAGACTTGTAACTAAAGTAAAATAATCAATCCAACATAATTAAACGTCAACACATAAATCAAGGCACTTGGATCTCGCATTTGTTTTTATCAACACTTGCAACACGACCCTTTTTTTTCTGTTGCGTGTTATATTTTATAATTGTATTTGGTAAGTTATTATATACATTCATTCATATATAGTACATTCTATATATACAAAAACCTGGATTTATAATATACAAATTTTGAAAAAAATGAGGTGATTTTATCTATTTAAACGACTTTTTTTATCTTTCCTGAGTTTACCATAATGTAATTAAAATAAATTATAGACATGACGCATTGTGTAAACACTGTTTTATTGAAAATTTTATGGAGAATCCAAATATACGTTTGTGAAGGGTATTTTTACAAAATAACAGAGAAATCGGCAGAACAATGCAATCGTTCCCACCCAGCGGGCGAGCGGTCCATAAAGAAGTCCGGCACTTGTAGGTGAGAAAGGCGCATGACCTTTGGCTCACGAGAGGTTTAGAGAATAAGCTTACGATATTTTTTCTAATATTTTATAACGTTATTAAAAATGTAATAACGTTATGAAATAACGTTATTACATTTTTCTAATATTGGGGTGTTTCATATGACTATGGTAACACTGGCTAATGCACTACATACATAAAAAACCGGCTTCACTTTTTGGTTCGGCAGACTCCGTCTTTACTTTTTATTTGGTCTGAGCTCCTAATAATGTTCTCGCTGCTAAGGTGAAAAGTTGTATGTGTCACGCGAGAGAAAAGTTATTTCCATCTCGTACCTTAGAATCCTTCGCTTACTCGGGATTCAAAATTAGCACTCGCTTGGAAAACCAACTTTCCTCTCTAGTTGAACAAATAACAAATAAGCCTATGGGCCGCCCGATGGTAAACGGCCACCACAGTCTGGGGGCCGGTCAAGTATTACGTAAGCAGATTTATTACAATTATTTACCCCCTCTCCCCCTTGTCAGCAAAAGTAAGCAAAGCTCTTACCCGCATATTTCGATCCCCGCCCCCCCCATGTCATCAAAAATAAGCAAAACAAATACCCCCCCTGCCCCCCTATAGTGCTTACGTAATACTTGAACGGCACCCTATAGTAAACGGCCACCACAGCAACACTAATAAGAAATAATACATTAAATGGTGTTATAATTCTCTTTTAGTTTCTGCAATGGAAAGTACGATGGATACATTCTGATTTTTCTCTCTTCTATCACAAATGTAATAAAATAGGTGGATAGATGGTGGATAGCAATAAACCATAAAAATAAACCCATTAGCTGATTCCTGACTCCATTTTTCTGTCATGCTAGTTAGATATTAAAATAAGGCCAGTTATCAGATTAATTATACAAACATACTTACCGATCCTGGCACTGTGCATAAATCATTCCAAATAACCACTATGATGACAGAGCAGAGGAGGCTGTACTCTACGCCACAAGACCTCAAGTATGGGTTCGTGCTTCTGATTAAAGGTGCTATCATATCTGAAACGTTGCACGTCCATTTTTGAAGTATTACTGTGGTCTGATTGAAATCAGCTTTATTGACGATGGAGTTTGCGACAATAGTCTCATTGCTTCCACGTAAAAAAGTACCGTTGTTTGCTTCTTCTTTTGTCTGATTAATTGAAATTATTAAATTTTGTGAAGGTCCGCTTATGTTGGCGTAGCGCATAAGGGCTGGCCTGTCAAAAGCCACTGCGACGATATCATCTCTTGTCTCTTGTATGACGACGTTCAGCCATTCGCAAACGTTGGTTGCTATTAGGTGCATCAGCCCGAATCTGTCGAGTACTACCCCGCGCATTGGGTCTAGGATCTACAACAAACCCCTTGTTACACTTTAAAGCGATAAAATAAAACACATTATTTAAATATTTAAAAAAAAATGGGTGCGTGTACTTATGTAGGCGCGTGAGAAGTTATCCTTCTTTGGCATCGTTTAAAATTAGTTTTTAATTGCATGCAAATAATTAATTACAATAAATTAATAAAAAGTCTGGAAAAGTACACAGTCAATAAAGTTCAGTTTTAATTTGAAAAAATAAATAAATAATCAAAATATTCAATTAAAATCGCTACTGAATATAATTTATTAGAACATATGTGATTTGCACTTGTATGAAACTCAAACACGTATTCCGAATATACAAACTAGAAACATGTGGATAAATATTATAAATATGAATACCTATAACTGTTACTTTATTACAAAAAATAAAGATGTGGTTTTTGGTTCTACTACACCAATGGTCAAGAGATGGCGCTGTAGTCTCCTGAATCGCGCTTTGGTTCCGTTGTTCCAGATTAATAAATACTTTTGATAGGCCTTCACAATGCAGTCGTTAGCACCCACTAAATAGAGATTCTATTTCTATTTTGTTGGTAGATTTTCTTAATGTGCGGTAAACACAAAAGTAACGCATGAAGTTGGTCGCTAAAGCAACCAACTTCATGCTGTTAAAATTTTGTGTTACAGTGATGCGCGCGCATCTTAAAATTTCACTCTTATCATTTTTTCATAACGCGCCTAAAGAAGTATAACTTCAAAAATATATATGCGTGTTCCAAAAGCAATGAGAAATACCTCTACGACTTATGAAATAACATTTATGTCTGTATTACTATTGTTAAGCTCAAAAAATGTAAATTAACAAAATCAAAAAACCCGACTGTTTAAATATTACTCCAAATAAAATCTGAAAAGAAAAAACAAGTCCAGTAGTCTATAATCCTGTTTAGTAAGGAACTAAGCTACTTTAACACTCGGAACCCATTATTGAAAAAAAAAATGATCCATTCTTGAATATATTATTGGATCCCAAAAGAGGAATCTTTAAGGAAGTAATGAAGTACAAAGTTTGTTCAATATTTTGATGTAATGATATTTACTTTAATTTGATGTTTATTTCAGGTTTTAATGGGAGCTATAGGATTTATTTTTCCGGTGTCTTAAGTTTAAAGGTTTTTTTGGATGTAATTTCTTTACTTCTCGTGGTTGTATTAATTTGTAGTAAGTAATTTGTAAAGTGTGTGTCAGTGAAACAACTTACTTGCTCGTAGTGAGCGCGGAAAAATTTACGCGGTAAAACACACCTCTCGAATTAGTTACGGGTTTTTTTTCTCGTTTCGAACCAAGGCGGATTTCTTGAGAATTCTCGAGCAGAAACCCTAATCTGTTGGGTGTTTTGCGATATCATTTTTCGGCTACCAACTCAAATTTAAGCGTTTATTAAAATAGCAATCGGGGTTGTAAATTTAATCGTGACGCACCCAAACGATTTACCGTAGTTTCAGGCGGCGAGGGAATTCAATCAGTCGTGCTTCCACTGCCTGAGGTCGCACCGCCCTTATACCAATAAGACAACACTGATAACCCTCGCATATAAAATGTTAAAGATGATTTAGAAGAAGTAAGCTTGAATATTTGTTAAAGCGTTTCCATTTTTTGACTAGCTAAGTAGAAAATATTGTCTGTCTCTGTAATCAAAACTTTTTTTATTTACTTGCATAGATGAAAAGGAATTAGAACAGTTCTGTGATAATATTACAATTCTTGTAACAGTAAATTATGCTTGACTTACTACTCATAAGTAAGACAGTTATTAAAAAAATAGATCTGCATTTATAAGTGTTTGTGGAACCCAGGTACCATACCATAGGTAGAAAGATAGTTTATATCGGATTGAAATAGGAAAATAACCCTGATTTTGGTGAGTTTGTATTTCTGTTAGCAAAGTTGGAGTTGGAGGGCTCCAGTATCCCTAGTACAATTTTAATTAGATATAAACATCTAGCTTAAATGCTTAGAAAATATATGACTACAGGTGGTATTTCTTCTTTTAAATGTTTAATACTTGTAAAGGTATTCGTTTGACATTGTGGGTTACCTACAATGCGAAGAGATGGCGCCTGCCTTGCAGCCTAAAAAATCTAGAAAAAAAAAATATAGAGCCATTAGGGCCGCGGTAGCATAATGGTCAGTGCATACACCCCAATAGCGGAGGGTGCGGGTTCGAGTCCCGCCTAAAATTTTCTTTATTTAAGTAATTATAAATTTATAATGTATTGGTTTTCTTAATTTTTATTTAAAATATATACAATACTATTGAGGGTGTCGTATCGTTCCTGGTGCAAAGGTGCCCATTTAGCTTGCAGCATTGCCACTCTGGATGGCAAAAGACAACCTTTGCACCAGAAGCGACCCAGAGCGGCTTGGGTTTGCTAAATAAATGTTTTCTTTCCTTCTTCTTCATCTTCCCTTGTATACTTACATCTGTATATGAGAAGATGAAGACAGTCTGCGCGACCATGAAGAGTATCCGGAGGGCTGGCTTCAGGGCTACAATAGCCATCTGGCAGTCTCCAGACAGATCGAAGTAGCCCCCGATTTGCAGGCACGAGTAGATGACGGAACCCACGCTGAACCCTGCCACTCCCATGTGGAGGTAGAAACTACCGTAGCGGGTACGTTTCATGTTCTCTTTGAAATATTAAACTAGTTAAGTAACAAAGTTCAATTAGTATCAAATAAACTTCGGATATGTCGGTTGTAGCTTAAAAAGTGGTAAAGAATTTGCCTGGATAGTTCCGTAACTATCTATGAAATTCAATTCTATTAGTTTTCCAGGTTCCTAAATTTTCTCTAATGATTAGATCTAGCAGCTATTGTCCATCCACACTTATAAAATTTATTATGAGTAAGATATATATATATAGCGAACTTCGTCGTAGGGGCAGGTGTAAGAAGAGAAAATTTAGGGTTGTAGGTATTTTTAATACCACATTATGAAAAAAAAAATGTAAGGGGTGTGTAACGTAGTGTTCAATCAATTTCCTGGGATAACATTCCTCCTAACCCATATGAGAACGCTACGTTACAATACCCAATAGTTTGAATTTTGGCGCGAAGGCGCATTGTAAGTTTCAGAAGACTACGTTACAAGTGGACAACCATTATCACTTAAGGATATGAAAAATAGATAGTAGCCGATTCTCAGACCCACGGAATATGCATATAAAATTTCATAAAAATCGGTCAGGCCGTTTCGGAGTAACTAACATTGTGACACGAGAATTTTATATATAAGATACATTAGGTAATTATAGCTAGGTAGCAGTTTTGCAATTTTTTAGATACCTTTTTTCTTCTCCATTTTGGCTATCCGAAGATGGTAGAAAGTGTAGGCTAAGAATATCATGCTGACAACATATAAATACATGGTGAACACCTGAAACGATAATGTTTGAATGTTTAATAATTTTATTCTATATTTCTCCTTTTAGACAGTAGGTAAGTAGTAGTAGGTAGGTACCTATAAATATATAGGTATAGGTGGGTAATAACTAGGGTTGCCACCTTTTTTTTTGTCCAAATAGAGTACATTGGAAATTAAAGGTAGAAAAAAGTACAATGTGTGCAAAATAAAGTACCTACTTTTCTATTCCATTTTATTAGTAAGCTTAAAAATATATTTTATGTGGATTCGAGAAACTTTTAAGAAATAATTTGTGGCTACTAAATGTCTGTAGTTCTTTTCCGCAATGGGAAAGGTCATGGTACAAAGCCATATACAGCCAAGAAAACGTCGCAGGAATTAGCATAACATACTCATATTCTACATACTGTTGGTCCATTTTATGCAAATATTCTTCCTATCAACCTGTTTTTTGTATATTTTATGTAAAATTATTCCGCGAGTAATCAAACCACAATAAATAAAGTATTTTCGCGTACTTTTTTGTTGGCATAAAGTATAGAGTACAATAACCTGAAATAACGTACAATACTTTATAATAAAGTACGGGTGGTAACCCTAGTAATAACCCATATCTGAAATCATACATAGGCACTATGATATTATAGGATACCAATACTTTAAATAAATAATTTAATCGCGCTAAGGGCTTACTCATCAGACAGCCACAATTTACACTGCTCGATGCGTGGTATTATGAATTTCAAAAAAACAACATTGCCATTCACGCGCATTTCACTACCACAGAAACGCCGCATACTTTCAGAATCCTTTATAGAGAATCATATCATGGGTAAAGATAGACTTGTATGGAACTGTTATAATTAGGTATTAAAACACTTATGTGATACTATTATTAAACTCAGCTTCGCCTCGTATTAAAACACAAATCCACATTTGTGTTTTAATACCCCACATTATACAACAGTTGCATTAATAATTATTACTTATTACCTTAGTTACACACCAATCTAAGTAGCTACCTACATATTATTATCTTATGGTGAACTTCGTATCTATGTGAAATTACAAGTCTATACAAGTTCAATATTTATTTGTATACTCACATCCGTTGTGATGTTTGTGTAGAGCTGATTTTGTATTGTGCTCGTAACGGGCAGCGCTACTCCCAGGACTATTAATAATTTTGCGTAAAACGCTGACAATACCACTGTCATTGATTCGCTGAAACAACGTAAAACATACCAGTAGCAATTCACTTAATTGTCTAAAATACGAAAACTAATGAAAATCGTATTTATAACTACCTAGTACCTAATTGTGTTTGGGTGTTTTCTACATATCGCTGAACTGGCTATCGTTTCATTAGTTATTACTTTATGCAATAACCACTTATTTTAATTGATATCGCGTTTGGACTTGTTCACTTTATAAACAGAAATATCTTTTTATGAAGTTATTAAGAGCCCTTTTACAAAATTACGCCACTGCCGTACTGATCGGCGCGTAGGTAGATTTGCACTAGTAATATTGCATTTTACGGGTGATATTTTGAGTCTTATAAAATAATTGTTAATGAACTAACTATAAAAATATACAAATATTTCAGTAGTTCAATAACGGTAAATTAGTTTAATGAACGTTTTTGATAGTAATTCTATATAATTCAATATCAAAATACGGGTAAACCTGCATTGTTTTTTGGGAAAACTCACGGAGGTTAGATGTTTTTTTTGATAATTAATGAGATGGAAAAACAAAATTCTAATACATTATGTTACAACAAAGACATATTTCTGATGTCATAGTAATTAATTTGATCTAATTTATTGATCATTATTTAGAGATTCAGGCGTTTGAAGTTGTGCATATTATCGTATTTTTCGTAAACTAGCTGCGGTAGAACGATCAGTACAAAAAAATGAAAATAGTATTTGCAAATATTCTACATTAACATACATTGGGAAGAATAAATCTACTGTTTACTTCTATTGGTAATAGTCAAAATCTTTTAAAGGGGGTAAACGAGGCGCTCAAAAATCACGATATATTGCAAAATATGTGAAAGGGCTCTTAAGAAAGTTTCTGTAGCTGTGAGACGAGTTCACATATTAACAATTCCGCACGAAGGTTATACAATGTTTTTCAACACATTTGCGAGGAAACAGTACCTATATCTTATTTAAGTAATTATCACCCATCAATCTCCACGATCACCCACCAATCCCTTATTATCACCCACCAGTCCCATTATCACCCTCGAATCCCTTTCATCCTCCAACCCCTTTTTTCACCCTCGAATCTCCTTGACACCCTCCAGTCCTTTTTTCACCCTCCAATCCCCATTTCACTTACAATTTCCCACGATCACCCACCAATCCCCTATTATCACACATCAATCTCTACTATCACCCACCAATCCCTTATTATCACTCACCAGTCCCCTTATCACCCTCGAATCTCGTTCACTTTATTTACTTTACGAATTCGAATCGAAAGAGCAATTCTATAGATAACGGGTTAGCGCATACACTCCGTTTCGGTAAATATAGCCTCACTTTAGGCGTGAGATCTTATTTTAAATTTGTTAGGTTAATACAAAACGAAGTAATTCGCTGGCTAAGGACTGGTAAAAATATTTTATTTTGTGGGTCATACGGTTGATTACATATTTTCCTTTTTTCACCTTTATTATTTTTTTCCAAGTAGGTATCAGATATAATTTATAAAAGGAACAAGAGTTCGTTTTATAAGGTCGTATGTGCGAAATAACATTTTGTTATTTGCAACCATTTTCCTTTGCCAGATAGTTGTTATTAGGTTCAACTTAAACTGTTTTAAAACATTACCTTTGTTCATTGGGAATCCAATGTAGCTGCATAAGTTTAAACATACGCGGACAGTTTTTAGCTTTGATTTTGTATGCAACCCGTTATCTATAGAATTGCTGATCGAAGCTTTTGCGAAATAGTTTTAAAAATTATTTTGATCGCTTAGAATTATTATCTAATATATAAAATTTTCGTGGCACGGTGTCCGTAATTGAACTCCTCCGAAATGGCTCGACCGATTTTCGTGAAATTTTATATGCATATTTACTAGGTCTGAAAATCGGACAACACCTATTTTTCATCCCCCTAAATGTTAAGGGTGGTCCACCATTTTTTTTAATTAGATTTGTTTTTTTTTATGATACATCATAGAAAAATACTTACAACCTTTAATTTTCACCCTTCTACCACCCATATTTTTATGGCGATACGAAGTTCGCTGTCGCAGCTAGTAAAAATGTAAAAGAAGAAACTGACTGACTGACATATCAACGCGCAGCCCAAACCGATAAGTCTAGAGACTCCTAATTTGGCACGTAGGTTCCTTATGAGATCTAGGGGTACAGTAAGAAAGGATTTATCAAAATTTAGCCCCGAAGGGGTTAAAATAGAGGATGAAAGTTTGTATGAAAAATCTTATTCCCTGAGTTAATAGAGTTGAAACATTCGTTGACTGGACCTGCTCAGGAAGAAACAGTGTTTGTACCACGTATTTCATTAATACCAAATGATTTTTCCTTTGAATTCAAAAGGCTCCAGTTTCCCCTGTAGGTCTGTTTCGCCATGACCATAAATAAGTCGCAGGGGCAAACTCTCAAATTCGCTGGAGTAGGCCTACGACAGGACTGCTTCTCCCACGGTCAGTTCTATGTGGCATGCTCCCGTGTAAGTTCACCTCAAAGTTTTGTAATATTACTACCACCTTCAAAGATGGCAAAAAATGTTGTTTATAAGGAAGTACTTCAACGAGTACAAAGTTGTTAAATACTACATCTGTTTTATTATCACTATCATTACACCTTCTGTATAATATTTAGGTATCTGACTAGCAATGACAAATTCACAACAAATTTTAATTTTAGGTAAATAGGAACATATCAAAAAGTAGTAGTTTGTGATATGGAATACCAGTTGCGTTATATTCAAATGTTTAAAAGCTCTACACAAACATCACTGTGTGTTTACGTTCACAGTAAACACACAGTGATGTTTGTGTAGAGCTGATTTTGTATTGTGCTCGTAACGGGCAGCGCTACTCCCAGGACTATTAATAATTTTGCGTAAAACGCTGACAATACCACTGTCATTGATTCGCTGAAACAACGTAAAACATACCAGTAGCAATTAACTTAATTGTCTAAAATACGAAAACTAATGAAAATCGTATTTATAACTACCTAGTACCTAATTGTGTTTGGGTGTTTTCTACATATCGCTGAACTGGCTATCGTTTCATTAGTTATTACTTTATGCAATAACCACTTATTTTAATTGATATCGCGTTTGGACTTGTTCACTTTATAAACAGAAATATCTTTTTATGAAGTTATTAAGAGCCCTTTTACAAAATTACGCCACTGCCGTACTGATCGGCGCGTAGGTAGATTTGCACTAGTAATATTGCATTTTACGGGTGATATTTTGAGTCTTATAAAATAATTGTTAATGAACTAACTATAAAAATATACAAATATTTCAGTAGTTCAATAACGGTAAATTAGTTTAATGAACGTTTTTGATAGTAATTCTATATAATTCAATATCAAAATACGGGTAAACCTGCATTGTTTTTTGGGAAAACTCACGGAGGTTAGATGTTTTTTTTGATAATTAATGAGATGGAAAAACAAAATTCTAATACATTATGTTACAACAAAGACATATTTCTGATGTCATAGTAATTAATTTGATCTAATTTATTGATCATTATTTAGAGATTCAGGCGTTTGAAGTTGTGCATATTATCGTATTTTTCGTAAACTAGCTGCGGTAGAACGATCAGTACAAAAAAATGAAAATAGTATTTGCAAATATTCTACATTAACATACATTGGGAAGAATAAATAGCCCCGAAGGGGTTAAAATAGAGGATGAAAGTTTGTATGAAAAATCTTATTCCCTGAGTTAATAGAGTTGAAACATTCGTTGACTGGACCTGCTCAGGAAGAAACAGTGTTTGTACCACGTATTTCATTAATACCAAATGATTTTTCCTTTGAATTCAAAAGGCTCCAGTTTCCCCTGTAGGTCTGTTTCGCCATGACCATAAATAAGTCGCAGGGGCAAACTCTCAAATTCGCTGGAGTAGGCCTACGACAGGACTGCTTCTCCCACGGTCAGTTCTATGTGGCATGCTCCCGTGTAAGTTCACCTCAAAGTTTTGTAATATTACTACCACCTTCAAAGATGGCAAAAAATGTTGTTTATAAGGAAGTACTTCAACGAGTACAAAGTTGTTAAATACTACATCTGTTTTATTATCACTATCATTACACCTTCTGTATAATATTTAGGTATCTGACTAGCAATGACAAATTCACAACAAATTTTAATTTTAGGTAAATAGGAACATATCAAAAAGTAGTAGTTTGTGATATGGAATACCAGTTGCGTTATATTCAAATGTTTAAAAACTCTACTGAATGATTTTCCTGCATTTTGTTAGTGTTTACCACAGTATTTCTGTCTTTCTTTAAGGACTTCAACATTTATAATCGCTAATTGGTCGTTATCAGACCTTTTACTGTTACAGTAGTGTGTAGATACTTTTACTAAGGGCCGTTGCAGCCACGCTTTTTTGTCATTGGCACGTTCCCCTTGGTTCTATCAGAAAAGTATGTTGTAATGTCTTCAATCTTTATTTTTGCCAAATTCAACAGTTTTGCCAGTTCCCAAAATGTATACTTATAATATTTGTTATTTGATCACAGAAATTATACTACTATATTTTAATACTGACAAAGCTATTACATCGTTAAGATATCATTTTGCCTATAAAAAGTATGCCTGCTTTCACGTCCAATATAAACTGGCACTCTCAATGAAGTACTAAGTGAGTAGGTTCGTATTAGCTTATAGCTATCTACGGTTATCACAAATAAATTTGGATTAGGTTTGCAATATATAGGGCAGTTGACCTCACACTTTACCATTTTTTTTGTATGTACTAAATATTCTAAACACAGAACGAAAGAGCTTTTGCCGCCTCCGAGCGATAAATATCCCTAACGCGTCATATAACTGCAATTGATTAATCTCATGCAGTCACGAAAGATTTTTCCTCAACAAAATATTTATTTTATTGCTCTTTTAAGTGCTAAAGCAGACGTGTCGGTCTATTATATTTTTTAAAATTTTGAAATTGTTAGTTGCCATTGCATATTTATTTTACTATATATAATGACGCAAGTAACGCAGTCAGGTTTCAATGTAGCTAGATCTTATGTCATCGCTAATACCCCTAAATGAATACTATCCCTGTATCCTAATGGATACTCCATCGTAATTCATAATCAAGTTAGGGTGATCAGTAAATGAAGATATACACGAGTTACTTAATAATGATCTGCTTCGATGCACTAACATAATACTTATGATTAAAAATGCTAATATAGCTAAATATAATTAAATTTAGTTTCTGTTCTTGGATTTGCTTATGCGTATTAGTTACGAATAATATTGGAAACATTGCTAATAACCACAAACATTACTTAAGATGAATGTTATTTACCCACGTTCACAGTAAACACACAGACTTGCTTAAACCTGCCTGGATAATGTAAGGAAGGAAATACGATAAAAAGAAAAGACCCGATTGCCTTATGAAAGAGATACAAAGTAAAAAAATAGTTCAAGTCAATGCATTGCTGATCTTCCTGTGGAATACTATTTAAACTACAAGATCTCCTGCAGTCTGCAATGCCTTTACTCAAAACTCAATATGTAGACGCATTATGCATACTATCGCAATTCGTCACGCCGCAAGTGACGCGTGAAGTGGGGTTGGTGACTGTTAAAGTTTTTAGATTGGCAATAAACTTTATTCAATATGATAAACAAGCATATGGTCCGCCTGATGGTAAGTGGCCACCATGACCTATAGACGCTTGCGATACAAAAAATATCACTCGTGCCGTTGCCTACCCTGACCCAATCCCCTACCTCGTGGAGTTCGGAGCATTACCTTACTTACCGGCAGAGACAGCACCACCAAAATTAGTGTTATTTTACTGCGGGCTTTTGTAAGGTGGAAAATACTTTTACAGACGGACGCTCCAATTCGGGCGGATAATACGCTATGTCTTACCAATCTTAATATTATACTCACTCTCCGTGTGAAAGAGGCCTTCTCTTGGGCCTTGGGGGGAGATTTTCTACGCTGGAACCCGTACTGGCTGGCATCACCACGCTCAGACGAGGTAGTGAGTGCGGTGGGTGCTCACTGAAAAAAATACGAGTAGTTAATACTTAGACATTTTTTTTACCTTTATTTATTTAAGTGCTTTTATTCTTTTAAGAACATGTTATCCTCATCGTAACCTGACCCAAACAAATCTATCTCTATTTCAAGATGTAAAAATAAATAACAAAAAGAACTATTTCTATAATATTGAGTAACTAGCGGCCGCCCGCGACTTCGTACGCGTGGAGTTATAGACCCCATAAGGGGGTTTATATCTAAAGATACATTATTAGTACACCTCTACACCATCTATGGAGCGTATGCTCTATTGAAATTTAACATGCATATGTTAAATTTCAAGTCTCTTACTTCAAAATAATAGGATTTTCATACAAACTTCCAACCCCCCTATTACCCCCTTAGGGGTGGAGTTTCGTGATAATATGTAGCCTATATGTTGACCCGACTTCTTAATAATATTCGTGCCAAAGAAGATTGCTCAGCTTCCATACATGTTTGGCCTAAAGACCAATAATCATGAAAAATTGTTTCCTAGATTCGAAATTATATATAAATTACTGTAGAAACGAACATTATTGACGGACACCCCTGAGAACTTCTATAAACCATATACACTGTACATATTAGAATAATAAAAAACAAATAAGTTATATAGTAAACTAGAGAAATCAAGCCAGGTATCGAAATTATGGATTAGATTCAGGTATATAGAGCATGTAGATTAACAGATAGTTGTCTGTTTTTAAAATTAATGTATAAGAGTAACTTATAAAATCAGGTGTCATCTATGCATTTCGGTTATAATAAGGTACTCTGTGACAGAAACTGTGTGATGATTGTGAATGAGCCATAGATTAGAGAGAATTTTTAAACTCTCGTTAACCAAAGAAAGCTAAGAGATTTAGGTAATATAGCCATATATTCAGTAGCTTTATTATTTTTGTTATGTTTTTAATATAACCATATTTTAGATTTTTAGTGTATCACACCTTATAATTTTATTTATTTATTAATTTATAATCAGGCAACGTAGGCCCATAGATAGATACCTTAAAGTCTAACATATATACAGATTATAATGTGTTTATGGAGGTGTTTGGCGAAAAATGTATGGCAATAGACTTTATGATGTCGCCTACTATCTATAATAATTGTCTGAGCACATTTGCGTGTAGTGAAAATGATAATATAGTTGTGGATATTAATACCATAGTCTAATAAAAAAAATGATTTATTTTATCGATCTTTACAAAAAAGATTTGTTTTTATGTTGTATAAATAATTTCGATCAGTCTTTGGCTGAATGTTACTACACCTATAGCCATTAAAATGATTCATGTGTTTTCCAAACCGGTAAAATTAAAAGTCCTTTTTAAAGTAAATATATTTTACAAAGGTGTCCGTTGAAATCTAATGACTGTAAATTAAATTATAAATTACGCCAAGAATTACCGTGTATGTCAATAAGTTTTTGTGCGTTTGGGCCAATTTGAGCAATCTCCTTTGAAGTAAATCCATGGAGTACTTTTTGAGTTTATCCCGGACATACATACAGACAAACAGACAAAAATTCTAAAAACTATATTTTTGGCTTCGGTATCAATTGTAGATTACACCCCAAGTATTCTTTAAAAAAAATATTCATTGTACAGTTTTGACTTTCCTACCATTTTATTATTATGTAATAATAGGTGAGAGCGACGAATCATTGGTGAATCATAATGTACTCACTAAACACTTCAGCAATTGCGTGACTCATTTCTTTGTCCTACTATTCGCAAGTGGAATTCTTTGCCCACGCACGTGATCCCTCCTTCCTACTAACTGGGGTCCTTTAAAAGAGGCATGAAGAAGCATTTCTGCGGGTCGCCCCCAAGTTGAGGATGGTTGGTTTATAACTGCTGCACCAGCTAGCTTCGCGTCTTTACCTTACCACCCCTTAACATCAGGGGTACAGTCATTAATAATAATAATAATATATTTATTTATTTCTCCTCACAACATGATGCTATTGTAATAGGTGAATACAAAAATGATAAACCTGTAGGTTGTGAGAAGCTGGTGTCTGACATGGGTATAGAAATACCTGTATTACAGATCACCAGGCCCTCGGCCAACCAGAATGAGATAATTACAATACAACTTAACCAAAACAATTCTACAATATAGGAGAACTTATATAAAAAGACATTAAATATTAGCCTAGTTGTTCGTTTACAGAGATTAACATATCAAAGATGATTGAATGCCACACAAAGTGCAAACAAGTATAGCTGGAAGTTAAATGGACAGTTTCTATTGTGTTGTTTGTTGATACATTTACTTAATTACTTTAAATTACCTAATAGGTAATTAACATTACTTTGCTTTACATAAAAATAAAAATTAAAGATACTCATTTGCTAGAATTTCATTGAGAAAGAGAGAATCTAAGAGAAAGTTAACTGCTCAAAAGATTCTCTGTTGTTAGATAATCCAGATTTTGTAGCCAATTTTTTACTATTCGCTTTAATTTGAATTTTGTGACATTATAAATAGATAAAATGTTGTTAATTTTATTGTACAAACTACCGCCTTGAATTAGCTATATAAAAAAAACTTCGCTGCATTCGATGCCAGGTTTTTAGTATAAACAATCTCCCATCTCGAAATGAGGTTAAAATAAAAATATAGCTACTTACAAAACTAAAAAAATAAACGGTTACGACGGACAGGTTTCAAAAACTATCAGGTACAGGTTACATATCCCTAGCTTTTTTTACAAAATCTCAGACCTAATTACTTAGTAGTTTACCAAATTATGGTTGGTGAACTTATTATAGTGTTAAATGTGTGAATTATACTTAAGTTAATATATCAAAACTTTTATGCGCTAGCAATCCTGCAAGGGTTAAAAAATATTATAGCAATGGAATAGCTATTCCCTGATATCGCAAATGTGAAACTATTACAAATATGCGCATTTATTAAAACACTGAAAAATTAGGAGGAAACTTTCAACAATATGAATCACTTGCTGTGCCCCGCGGTGTTACCCGCAGTTTATTAGGGACATTTTCCCGCAATAACACGTAGCCTATGTGTTAATCCAGGGTGTCAGCTAACTCCGTGAGTATGTGTTAAGACGTGAAAAAGTAACAAACTTACACACTCACAAATTTTCGCCTTTATAATAATAGTTTGACATTGCATCACTGGGTGTATATTTCGCGCTAACACTGATTAACTCTATCCTATCAACATTTATTTTTAGGTTTTGTATAGACAAATTCTTATTGGTTCCCGTTAATCAAGATCACTTGAAACTTCCACAAGATGAGTATGGTTGATCAATTACATTCACTAATGAGGTGTACGATACGCGGCATCAAAACACGAAGCCGATTATTCGTTAAGCAAAAACGTGGCGGTATAGCTTTGCAGCGGGGTTGTTTTGTTTGTGCAGCGCTTATCGACTAAATGTGGGGATTTAATGAAGCGTTGCTGCTACTCACCTTTCATCCTCAGGCACAGCCACCAGCGGCTCCAATCTCTCCCGCCACTCCTTTGCCGGATTCATATTCGATTTGTTTTTTATTTTATCACTCGCACCATTTTTCAGTTAATATTTAAATTAAGAATTATCCATACCACTCCGGATTCAATAGATTAAATGAAAACTCATTTTTAAATCAGTGGTCGCCTCTTATGTGAAAAATTGTGCAACTTCTTGATATTACTGATCGATTTGTCGATCCTTCAGTGCTAATGTCTCAAGTCTACTGAGCGAGCAGACGTGATGTATGTAAATAATTAGCACTGGTTCGTGACTGGACTAACGAGAGATATTTAAAAGTAGTTTCGTTACATATATTTTTCAACTTATATTTTACAAGTGTGATTGTTGGATACTGGATATCGATATAACGTTCCAGTACTAACCGACTCTTTGTGGTCAAGGATTACTCGTGAGTTAATGTTTATTGGTAAGCAAAATATTTAAAGACTATGAAAAAATAACTAGCTTCCGGAAAAGAGAAGATTTGATTTTTACAACAACTTTTTTCAGAAAAAAGACAAAATCAATAACTATGTAACATAAAACAGGATAAATAAAATCAAGATAGAGGATACAGGATTTTCCATTTGAATCAGAGCGATGATTTGGATAAGATACCTCCACTTACAAAAAAATTGCGGGCAAAGAAATGACGATTACTCTTTAGTTTTATGTTTTTATAGTAAGTAAGTAAGTTTCAACGGCTATCCTACACCGTGGTACATGATAAGGTAGGGTAAACAATTCTGGGCAGCTATATTCTGATATCGCAAGAGCATATAGGCAATGGAGCAGCTTACGATACAAATAAAATGTTTATTCGAATTGTTAATTTAAACACATAAAACTCTTGTCAATAGTCCCTCTACCCGCTAGATATACTGATACCTTATGGTTATCGAGAAGATGAGTGAAAAATGTCCACGACTATCACAAAATTACTGTCATACAGTCTGATATTGGTCTCATATAAATCATTGGAATAGTGAGAAAGTTGATTATACAAAAAAAGTAAATTAATTAAAGCTGGGACACGTACTTAAATTCTACTAGGTTCTGTGTGTGTTTTAATGCATGCTCCGTTGTCTTTCTTTTTGATATTTCAGAGAGTTTCGGAACTTTCCAACTGTAGAACATTGCCGTAAGATAAATGAAAGCTAAAGGTTTCTTCGTACATGATTAATTAATCCAAAGTTCGCATATCAATCAACGATTTATATTGAAATGTAAAATCAAGCCGTTCTGTTTATTTAATTGGTAAAGAGGAGATGTTGTCCTCCCGGATAATTAGCTGCGGGTGTCACTTTCAGACGGCCCTGCTAACGAGGCACATGCAGGGTGCCTCAGGTAAACTACCCCTGCATTAGCCACCCACTTCTTATCTTCAATCTTGCGATTAATTAGATGTCGGTCTTAAAACGATCCGGTTATTTCATCCGGTTTTTTAATAGGCGTGCTTTTTGTTTACCCTTTATTATTGATGCACTTTACACGAGATAAACTCTTTAGAAAATATTTGGAAACAAAAAATAGCAATAAAATTTTAAGCGCACGCAGAAAAACAAAACATAAAGATACGGTGTGCTGCAGAAAACTATCAAAGGTAAGAATATAAAATATACTTGTCAATAAGCTATTTATTCTGAATATACGAGTACGCATGTATTATCAGATACTAGTTAAAGTTAAATTTTAAATGAAATTATTCGCAAACAGCAGAATATTGTGTTGATGTTGGTTGTGATATTTTTCAGATTTATCCTGGTTTTATACAGACTGTTAAACTTTTTAAGTAAATCTTTAAAAGTTTATTGCAATGCAACATCGAAAGAGGAACAGTCTACTTTCACACTTTACTTAAAGATTTTTAAAAGGCTGTGTGACAGTAATTTTGTAAGTCATTGGACATTTTCCACTCATCTTCTCCATAGCCATTAAATATACTGATTATGTGTACTTCAGAACAAAGAATTCTGGCATGATTCTCCAAACTTAAAACTTAATTTAACATCAGTCTTACCTTTTGCTATGAGACACAGGCGAGACTCGCGACAAGCTTTTATATTATATAAATTGTGTAATGACATTATAAGTTCATAGTAAAAGGTATATAGGATTTTTTTTCTATTATTTTTAGCGCATTTTTTCTTCGTCTATCAGATAGATTATCAAAAAGGGATGAACATGTATTTTTCCTTTATACACATAACCAAAACTTTTCACAGATATATTGATTTGAAATGTCGCATGACGTCACGTCTGGATATAATTTTTACTTTGAGGTTACGTCATGATAACTTTGACAAATTTTTCAGACTTCGAAAATTTGCGGCATAAATGGCTGTATCTTTTGATTGATTTGGCTTAGAAGTTTGATTTTTTCATCTCCAAGGAACAGTTGACTTGAGTATTAGATATGAATTTCAGTTTGAAACCTCTACGCGTTCCTGAGAAAAACGGTCTTGACAGACGGACGGACGGACAACAAAGTGATCCTACAAGGGTTCCGTTTTTTCCTTTTGAGGTACGGAACCCTCTTTTTTTTATAACGCAGGTCAAAATACTGTTTACAGACGACGGCGCCTTTAAGAGGCACACCGCCGAACGGACCTCACACCTGGCGTCAAGTCTTGCGGACCCCCCAGTGGCTGCCCACCGAGGACCCTGCAACTCTTACGGGCGCTTTACGGCATAATATCCGCTAAAAAACTCCTGCGAATACCTTCCAGACTGCTTAATGCGGAGCAGCGGGGTCCCCGTTTAGGGATTCTACCACGACTCCGCGCCCAGCAGCTTCCCAGCCTCGCCGGGGCTCCACGGCAGGGATCTGCCGAGGTATTGCGGGGACCCCGCAGACGTGCGCAGGATGGCCCGCGCATGGGGGTTAAGTACGCGGCCTAGTGCCCACCGTACCGCCCCCCGTCCGCTGCGGAGGGCTTCTTGGGTGTACTCGTCCAAGCAACCATCCACCGCCCGCCCCCCTTTGTAGGACAAAACTACAAGAGGGGGCCGCCGTTCCTGGGAGGGGGAAGCGTAGTTCTTCCCGTCCATCTCCCCTCTCCCGGTCGCCCACGTCTCCTCGTCCCTTCTCCTAGGAGAAGAGGGGGGAAACGCGGGCGACAGCATTTATGGGGGGTCCAAGAACCCGAGGCTACTCGGACCCCCCTCTGAGGGAGCCCGTCCGGGTGCCGACGACTCAGAGGCCATTCTTTCGGGGGGTTTACCCTTAGTGACCGGCGGGTCACACTTCCCCCTCCCTACAACGTGGTCAGCCGGTCGACCACTCTCCGCACATAGGGCGCAGTGGAGCTTGGCAGCGCATTCCACCGCCTTGTGTCCCGCTATCCTGCATTTAAAACATAGCGTGCTTCTGTCCTCTTTCGCCGGACATCTTGCCGCCGCATGCCCCCTTCCCATGCAGCGGAAGCAGTGCGTGCGCCGGCTGAGGACTTTCACCCTTGTGAGGCTCCAGCCCACCTTTAGAGTTCTCCCCTCCGCTACTTTTTTTGCGGCCCATGTGGGACACCGGACGATTGTCCCCCCCAAGCCTCCTGATCCCGGGTAAATTGCCCCTGTGGTCACCTCGCGTGGCGAACAGCCTTCTTCTCGGCTATCGCCTCCCTCAACTCATCCAGAGTCAGGGACTCGTCCAGTCCCGATATCCTGGGGTCCACGCTCTTCTCCGGTCTACCTATTTCCGCGTACTGACCAATGACATCGCCCATCCGCCTTGCCAGGGCATCAGCCTTCTCCCTGCCATCGGGTCCCGAGACTAATAGGAGCTTGGACCCCGTCTGGCTGCTTTTAATTATCAGGCCACCCTCTATACCTACGGACGGCAGTTGTATAGCCACCCGCGCTCTCTCTACTAGGTTGGCATAGGTGATCCCTAGCCCCTCCGCCTTAGGCTTCAGCCTAAGTTCCACCGCCGCGGTGTTGGGAACTTTAATCTTCGGTACGGGTGGCCCACCCGCGCCTGGCCTCCCTCCATCCTCACCTCTCGGATCCGGCACGCGCTTGCTGCGTGTGGGTTCTCCCTTTCTTTTACCGCCTTTCCTGACGACCGTGCTCCAGGCCTCCGTCGTCTCCACCTCCACCGTCGTCTCCGCCTTACGCTGGTCCGCCGCCAGTGGTGGTCTGGTCTTCTTTGGCGGCGGGAGTCTCTCCTCCAGGGAGGCCAGCCGAGTGCTGACCATCTCCCCTATGGACAGCATAAGGGAGCGTTTCAGCTCCTCGACGGCCTCCGGCGGCATCCGCTGCGTGGTTGGAGGTGGCGCAGGGCGCACCCTCTACTCCGCCAATCTTCTCAGCGACCCAATCTCCTTTTGCATGGTCGCTACCTCTGCCCTCATGTTTTTATTATCCTGTGTGAGTCTGCGGTTTTCCTCCTTCACCTTGTCAAGCCTTTTGACCGCCTCTGTTTTCCGCAGGGCCACTTCCAAGAACACCAGTATCTCACGTGCCGCATGTAGGGTATACTTGGTGCTCCTGCCTCTCGAAAACCACTCTTCCACCATTTCGCCAACATACTCCACGCTCTGGGTGATCGCGTTTCTGATTTCCTCCGTCGTGAGGACATCCATCTCATTCTCCTTAATCCTATACAAGGGCGTGGACTCCGAAGAGGGAACTGAGGAAGCTTTACGCTTACCCTTTCCCCTACATGTAGTATCCTCCTGGTCTCCGCCACCTCTAAGGCGCAGGATGCCTGTCTTCCCTCCTTCTAACGCCTCGGTAACCAATTTACCACTGCGGGACCCGGTAATCCCGCAGCGCCGGTGGCCAGCCGGGGCGCATTGGCCGCTAGTAGTCAATTTCCCACTCTGAGGCCCAGCTACCTCAGAGCGCCCGGTGTCAGCGGGAGAGCATGACAAACAAACTTCATAAGTGGACATTTTCATTAAATTTCCCTCTTCCGGGCGAGGGAACCCTACCTAGCCCCATCAAATTTGATTTTTGAAAAGGTTTTCTCCTTTTGACCCCAACCCCGAAAAGGTGGCAGCCCCCGTTCCCGCACCGCGCGTTATGGGTCGGCCGGAGGTGGCGCGGAGTTCGTGCCACAACCGCCCTCACCAGAACAGGCGTTACCGCCCCTCCAACAGTCTCGACCACCGCTACCCAGACTCCCCGGGACGCCAGCCGAGACTCACCAAGGTAATTTTTTTCAGAGGTTTTCTTCCTCGCAGCCCCCACCCTCCGAAGAAGGTGGCGGCCCTCGGCCCCGCACTGCGTACTGGGTTACGAGCTCCTCCAGGCAGCGCACTGCCCTCCGACACCGAGGCCACTGCATGCCCCCCACCCAGGGTAATTTTTTAGAGAGGTTTTCTTCCTCGCAGCCCCCACCCCGAAGGATGGCGGCCTT